GTGATGAGAGGTAGGCCATCCGATCTCGAGAAAGGAATAAGCAATAAGAATAAAGGATCGGCAACAACCTTATGTTCCTCCAAAAGACTTGAGGCTTGATGGCCAATCACACTGGCCATTGTGCAAACATGAAAGACAGAGATGCAAGATGTCCAACTGTACCTCCTTTTCATACATACAATGTTCCAAATGTGGACTGAATTTGTGTCTCAATTGAAAAAAAAAATTTTTCATAAATTCCATACAACTCAGCTACTAGTAACCTTACAGAAAAGTTGAATTCATTTCCGCTATGTATCATATGTGATACAATTGTTTTTTTCAAGAAATAAAAGTTTTTGTGACACTTACATTTTTTTAAATATTTTTACCCATGTTCACCAAAACGTCCTAAAACAATTTTTTTTCATTTCTGAATAAAAAATTGCGCATTATACCGTTGAAATCATTATTAGAAAAACACAAAATTTCTTCAGAAAATGTGGTCGACTTTTTAAGTGATACCAAGAATGTAATGGTTGTTGAATATAACTCAATATTTTCACATCTCAAAAAGGAACTTTCTGATATTGCTTGCATCAAATGTTCTTGCCACATGATTCACTTGACTGCCTCTGCAGCATGTTTACAGTTGCTTTGGTCTGTTGAGGATGTTCTAAGAAATATCGGAGCACATTTCAGTAGAAGCTATAGCAGGCAGGAGAAGTTCTGAGTTCCAGAATTTCTTCAGGACGGACATCCATGAAATTCTAATGCCTAGTATAACTAGGTGGTTATTTTTAAAGGAATGTGTTAAGAGAGTCCTGGAACAATATGTACCACTCTGTGCATATTTCAGATTATTTAATCTCGAATACCATTCTGAAACCACAGAGACAATTGTAAACACTCTAAACAATGAGAATATACATTACATACATATCACAAAGGTTCTAATGTCACTACTAGATAGCATGAAGTATTTTATTTCTGCATGGGAGTCTCAAGTCCATCAGACAAGCAAACATTGACAAAAACTTTTGTCAAGGTTATTTAAGAAAGAAAGAGAAAGAAGCAAGAATGCTGGAAATTCTACAGCACTAGCAACTAGAGGAACGTTCGCTAGGTACAACAACTAACCAGGACATTCAAGAAAGGATAATCACCAGAGAATCAAGAACGTATGCAATTTCTGTAAAACATTGGACGAAAGACTGTTGGTTCAAGAAGAAAAGAGCTGAAGAAGAAAAGAAGAAAATATGAGACCATTTCTCAGTGAGTCAATCTTATTAAATTGTTCTGATGTCAAGGCAACACTTGGCAAAGACAACTTGTTTGAACCGTGCAGGAAATAGCCAACAAAACGAACAAACGTCATTTCAAGCATGGTACAACAGGAACTGTAACATGCAAATATTCAAGGCATTTTGTTCAAAAGTCAGTGTTCATTTCAGCAGAAATGGAAAATGTCAGTTTTTGATTTCTGATTAGTCATTATCATGTTATTTATTTGATATTGTTCAGCTCAATTTCGAACTAATGAGGAAAATTACAAATGAAGTGTTTTATTACAAACCAACGTACTCATCAAGTAAGTACATACATTCATTGTTATTCAAAATTCCCGCCATGATATATGTTAAGATATGGTCATTTATTGTGGTACCCTTGAAAACACCACTACTACTGGCTCCCGCCTATAGACTATAGAGTCGGCTTATTGTTATTGCAGTGTTGCCGTTTGCCTGATAATTGTCCGTTTTACGGATAATTTCAGGTACTAGCGGATCCTTTTCGGATCCAAGAAATTATCGGATAATTTCGGATCATTCGTAGAAAGTTCGGATGATATTCGGATCTTTCAACTTCCAAAGGATTGTGGTTAGGGATTTGTCTTCTTCTTACTCCTAGCTCGCTCAAGAACGAACCATTATCTGTATGTTCTACAGTTTTATGTTTTATGATTCTGTAATGCCGTTGTCATGTGTCTGTAGCGGAATGTGTTATGGTTTCTGTGGCCTGTGAGCCTGCGCTGTAATTCCTATTTCTATGTCATTGTTATGTATGTCATTGTCAAATATATCATTCAGACATTTGTGATTTGTGATCTATTTTTATTTTTTATTCGAAGGGCCAATTTATGCATCATTGTCTTTGTCCTAGTCTTGAGTCTTTGTCTTAACTCAGTCCCAATCATAGTCTCAATCATAATTTAGATATTTGGACGTTTATACATCACAGTCTTTAGGCACCTTTAGGCTCGAGAATTATGATATGACAATTGACAATCCGTCAATAGTGTCAACTGAGGTGTCAAGAATGTCAACTGTGAATTCTAATATTTTGTTTTGGCGCGCTTTTAGAATATATTATTTTTCTTCGAAATAATTTTGGAATTCAAAAATGGAAGTGGATAGAGAAATAATTACTGGAATCACTCTGTCCTATATTCATTTGAATCTTGCCACTCTGGTTTGCCTGATGAATAAAAGAAAGAGAGTCAGGCGATGTGGAGTTCGTCCCATAAACAAAAAAAGGAAAACACAAGGTTTCTTCATGACTTTGGTAAGGACAATGAAAACTGGAGAATTGGATGGAGAACAATTCTTCAAATACACGAGAATGACGAAGAATCAATTCTCCTATTTACTTCATTTAGCTGGCCCCAGTTTACAAAAAAATGAGAAGAAATTCCACATACCTCCTGAACATCGACTGATGATAACAATTCAGTAAGTTCTCATTCTTCATTCAGAAAGAGACCAAGTCATTAACATCAATGTATTTCAGTTATCTGGCTGAAGGATGTTCCATGCAGGAGATTTCCTGGGGACACAGAATCGGACATGCCACAGCCCATCAGATCATAAAAGAAACTTGTATTGTTTTATGGGAAGTTTTAAATCAGTCCCAGCTACCAGTACCAACCATGGAAAACTGGGAGTCAATAGCTGAAGGATTCTTTAATAGGTGGAATTTACCTAATTGTATAGGAGCACTTGATGGGAAGCACGTTGTAATGAGAGCTCCACCTAAGTCAGGCAGCATGTTTTTTAATTACAAGAAGTCATTCAGCATAGTTCTGATGGCTTCTTGTGATGCCTACTATCGGTTCACTGCAGTAGACATTGGTGCTGCTGGATCAAATCATGACTCAGCAGTTTTCAAGTCATGTGGTCTAGGTGAAGCTCTCATGGAAGGCAAGCTTAATATTCCACCTGAAAAAAGACTTCCTGGTACAGACATTCTGATGCCTCACTTTTTCGCAGCAGATAGTGCATTTCCTCTGCATGAAAATATCATCAGGCCATATGCAGGAAATAATTTGGCTGAGAAGCAGAATATTTTCAATTATAGGTTAAGCAGGGCAAGAAGAACAATTGAGAGTACTTTTGGGATTTTAAGTCAACGCTGGCGTATTTTGCTGAAACCAATCCAAGCCAGTTTAGAAGTAACTGAAACAATAGTTCAAGCTTGTGTAGTACTTCATAACTATTTGCAAAGTAGTGAAAGTGACCTGCCCCTTGCAGATAGGAAATATTGCCCTACAGGCTATGTGGAATTTTGTAACTTTGAGATGAAAAATAAAAATAATAACAATCTCAGATCTGTTAGCAGATTAGGTTCAAGAAATTCATCAAATATTGCCAAGGCCCAGAGAGACAAACTTGCTGATTATTTCATTTCCAATGAGGGAAAAATTCCTTGGCAAGAAAAGTATGTTAATAGGGGTACAGTACCTTCAAATTTCTGAAATGAGTTCTAATTACTAAGTTCATTTGCTTTTCTTTTTCAATAAAATATAGGTATGTATATCATAATCTTTGATGTCCATCAAAAAGAGAACATTTCAAATTAAACAATTTTTTCAAACTTGCATTCTTTATTTCCACAAATCACAAAAGTTTGTATCCACAGTCTCATTCTCTCAAATTATCATAATATGAGGAAAACAAATATAAACTAAGAACAAAAAATAAGCATGAAATTATGTTCATACAAAATAAAAATCATTCTAGTAAGTAAGTAAGTAAGTAAGTAAGTAAGTAAGTATTTATTTTTCATAAGACTTGCACAACAAGTATAGAAATTGTCAATTTAGGATAAAAACTGTAATAATATTAAAACTAGACACTAGCCCAAGATCTGGGAGAAAAAAAAAACAAAACAGACATAGAACAGTTTACAAATAATTATGTATAAAACAGAAGTACTCTAAGACGAATGATACAAATTAAAATGAATCATCAAAATATTCCATGAGAGAGTAGTAGCTTTTATTTTTGAGGAATAATTTGCAATGTCTCTTGAATAGAGGATTCTTTAGAACTTTGAGTGAGTCAGGCAAATGATTATATATTTTGAGAGCTGTTATGACTGGACCTTTTCTAATCTGTGCAAGTGAAGCTGGAGGAATGAATAGTTTATTTGCATTTCTTGTTGTATAATGATTAATATCACCACATGTTTTGAAATTTTTAAGATTATCGTGAGTGAAGCATAGAGCGGCCAGAATGTAAATATTGTAAATGGTTGGAATTTTTTGAGAAATGAATATCTGACGACATGAGTCCCTTGATCTCATACCAAATATACTTCTTATTATCCGTTTTTGACTGATGAATACCTTTTCAGAACCAGAGCTATTACCCCAACATAGTATGCCATACATTAGTTCACTAAAAAGTGAAACAACAAAAAAATATATATCAGAATGAGAAAATGAAGTTCTGAATCTCTTTGGCAATAATACTACTGACATAAATAATACTCAGGTATAGGATACTTTCAGACATTGAAAATGAATCAAATCAAATTAATTGTCATCAATGGCTTCTGAAATCATTACTAGAATTTGAGCTTTCAGCTCTAATTTTTTTCTTTCATTTTTAATTTTATTAAGAGAATCAGCCACTGACAGGCAGAAGTAGTGGTCATCCCGTCCAACATTCCTGTCAGTACCTGGATTACTCAAAAAATGATTTAATGATTTCCCTACAGAAGTACAAGTTTGGACTAACTCGTCCAGAGGAATATCAGGCTTCCTCTTCTTCACTTCTTGTTTCTCTTTTCTAAGACTCTGAATATCATTTGTGACATTCTGCAGAGTTGGCCTTTGTTGTGTGAGAACAGGGATGTTTGGTTCATCCTTCCCAACAGTCTCGTCCTCATCAAGGTCTTCAATATCCTGAGAATCTTGTGAAACCAGCCCACCACCTTCTAATACTACCATACTTTCCCACACTTCTGATGGCTTGTCAAGGTTTTCCTTTTTTTTTATGTTACTTTTTGTTCTGGAACATGCATTATGTTTAAGATCATTACATACCTAATCTTCATTTACCTACTTCCTCGTAGTAATTGCACTATCTAAGAATCCCATTTTTTCAAATAACACCCAACTGCAGCTAGAAGCTCCAGACCCAGTTGGAATATTCTTCAGAATTCTTCTTTCTCTCACATATTTGAGCCGAAGAGATTTCCACATCTCTTGGCATTCTTCCACTGAAAATAATGACATGCCAATAGGAACAGTAGATAAAAAACACCAAAAAATCAATAAAATGTAGTCCACTTACCAGTCAATTCCATGATCTGGGAAATTGTTTTCCAGGAATTTTCTACGGCTATTTTGTCTTTGAATTGTAGATTTCTCTTGTCCCAAAGATGGGGAAATTTCTCCACCAAATCGATTAGAGTTCCCTCTTCCAGGCTCATGATTATTTCATCAATTAATTATTTCACCACTGATTGAACTATGAACTGATTCATTGACATTGATGACAATAACAAAATTAAAAAACTCATATGTCATTTCTCAAATAAGTTGACAGGTCGACGCATGCGTATTTCATGTGTCGTCTCAATCATAAGCATAAAAGTTGAAAATTTGTAACTTTCAAGGTCGTGATTTAATGATTATGATTAAGACTGAGACTAACAATGTTGCATAAATTCGCCCATTGAAATGTATGCTTTTAACTTTTAAGACCAAGACTGTGACTAAGACTAGGACAAAGACAATGATGCATAAATTGGCCCTTTAATTCTAATATTCCATCTTCTATTTCATAAAATCTGAGATAAAACCCATGACTTCCAAAAGTGGAATAGTGAAAATAAAATAGTGAATTTATAAAAATGGACAAATTCGTGGTGAAAGTGTCAAAGGTAATAATATTTAAAATCATTTCAGAAATAGGTGTCTATGATAATATTATCAATGAATTTGAACTGTTTCACCATCCAATAAAATCACATTTTTTACAGAAAAATGCAGAATCAAAGTTGTTTGAAGCAGTACCAGTACCAGGCTGTAGTGGACAATCCTCAACTTCTACTTTTATTGCTGATAAAGTATGATAATGCCATTTCATGCTACATATGATTATGATTGTAATTGATCTTTTCAGGTAGAACATGTTAATTCATCTGGGATGAAGAGGAATATTACAATCACAGATGATGGTAGTTCAGAATCAGAATCAGATGCTGATCAGAGTTTACCTGATTCTTCAAAGAAGCTGCCAGTAAAAATTAGGAGAAAAACGGAAGTAGGCACAGAAAATAAGAGAACTAGAATACCAAAATACAATTTTTGTATGTCATGGCTGAGACACCCAGATTTTCAAGGCTGGTTATTGGAGTCTTCTCCTGGTAAAAACCAGAATGCAAGTGCATTTTGTAAAGTATGTTGTACTAAAATGTTAGCACATAAAACAGTTTTGAAAAAACATGCATCTACTGCCAAACATAAATTCAACTGGCAGCAGTTGGCTAAAAATAAATAAATCAGTGACATGTACAAATCAACAGATTTAGAAAAAAATACTCAGATTGCTGAAATAAAATCATGTTCCTTACTTGTTCAGATGAATTTGTCATTTTCATTGATGTATACACTGGGACCATTACTTAAAAATATTTTTCCTGACTCCCAAATAGCCAATGGCTTAGCACTGAAACGCACTAAAGCTACAGCTGTTGTGAATGAATGTTTGGGCAAAACTTTCATGGAAAAACTTTCCAATAGACTTCAGCAGCCTGGTGTGTTTTTTTCTATAATCATGGATGAGACGACAGACATCTCAGTCAGAAAACAATGTGCATTTACTGTGATTTATTTTGATTTTACTAAGAATGAAGTTGTCACTCAATTCCTAGATATCATTGAAACTGAGGGATGCACAGCTGATGACCTATTTTCTTCCTTCAAAGAAATGTTGAAAACCCAAAATATACCGATTTCGAATGTAGTGGGGTTCTCATCTGACACCACAAATGTGATGGTAGGAAAGTACCACTCAGTGTTCACCCTTCTACAACAGGAAATTCCACACATAGTATGTGTGAAATGTTCTTGCCATATGGCACATTTGGCCATATCTAAGGCTTGTCTAAAACTTCCGAGATCTGTTGAAGATTTACTTAGGAATTTAGGGAGTCATTTCAATCGAAGTTCCTCAAGAAGGAAAGAAATTGTAAAATTTCAAACATTTTTTAGAACTGAAATTCACAAAATATTGTCACCTGCTATAACACGTTGGTTGTCTCTGAAAGGCTGTGTTGACAGGGTTCTTGAACAATATGTGCCTTTAGAGGCTTATCTTAGAGACACTGTATTTGCAATAATATATTTAGAATTCATGGTTTGATGACAGAATTTAATATGTTGTTTCAGTCAGAGAAACCATTGTTGCATAGAGTTAGACCAGAAACTGAAAAACTCCTGATAACTTTGTGTTCAAATTTTATGGAAATGGGTCAAATTCGTAATCAAGACATATTCAAGTTGAATCACCAAAATCCCAAATATTTTGTACCCTTGAAAGATGTGTATATTGGAGTTTCAGCGTCTGATAGTTTCAATAATTTGAAAAATAATAGTGAGGTTGAATCTTCAGAGTGTGAACGCTTTCTAAAAACGATTTCAATCATAAATCTCTCAAGTTCGTCATTGACAGATTTCCAGTGTTAAATGAAAATATCATAGATCTACAAACACATGACAATGAGTGGCGGCGACATGCTCTTCTAGATTTCAAAAATTCAAATTTTTCCTCAAATCCAGAAACATATTGGAAACAAATTTTTGATTTGAAAAATGTGGCAGGTGTAGACATGTTTCCCAATTTGAGAAAGGTGATTTATTTATTATTTATATTACCATTTTCTAATGCCAGTGTTGAAAGAGTGTTCAGCGATTTATTCAACATAAAGACTGACAAACGAAACCTGTTGAATACAACAACTTTGAGATCAATTTTAGCTCCAAAGGATGGCATTGAAAGCCAAGGAGGTTGTGTCAAATTTGTTCCAGATGAGAATATGTTGAATGTTAAAATTTGGAAAAAAAAACTGAGTATGTCTGTATATATGTGATATGAAGACTTTGGGGTATTTTTTCCTGTGATGTTAATTTTAGAATATTTTTGTGACCTTTTTTTTCTGTGATGTTGAGACACAGAATAATCTGTGGTTAAGATTAGTTTTAGAATATTTTTGTGTTCTTTTTTTTCTGTGATGTTAAGACACAGAATAATCTGTGGATAAGATTAGTTTCAGAATATTTTTGTATTCCCTTCTTCTGTGATGTTAAGACAGAATAATCTGTGGTTGAGATTAGTTTTAGAATATTTTTGTGTTCCTTTTATCGTGATTTGAAGATTTATTATTTTGAATAGGTATTCGCCGTTTAAACTTTTAGGGGTGCTATTAAATCAAAACAAAGAATAGTCTTTACCTAATATCTCTAGTATAAAATGAAAATGTGCTGTGGTCTCTTCTGCAATATTTTTGATATTTAATATTATGTATTTATATCTTGTAGGGGTAGATAAAAAAATATTTTTTCAGGAATAACTGCTTTTATTTTTTGATCCCCTAAATCTACTCTTATTCTTCTTTTTTCTTAGCGTATCAATCAGGACGTAAGCCCAAAAGGCGAACAATTATAATAATATAACATGTGTTACAGTCGAATTAGACAGTAGCCGTAGTGGTTGACATATGGTTGACAACGATCTCAACGTCACAGATTACCAAACCAACAGAGGCATTGTTTCTGCCTTTGCACTGAGTGTGTATCCTTCCAGCTACGTTGAACAACATTTCTTAAAATCGGATAATTTCGTAGTAGCCATCGGATAATTTGGAATGTTGGCTCCGGCAACACTGTGTTATTGATGCTATTGCTATTATAGACCTGTGCGGATTCTGTTGTATAATAGATCGTGTTGCGTTTTTTTCGCTTATATATTCTTTTATTCTTTTATTCTACTATGGTTCATAAAGTTGGACGACCAAGTAATGTTGACAAGACACAAGTTATGAAGCTGTTCTTGGATAATCAGGGTGTTAGTTTTGAAAAATAAAACAAAATTGTTTCTAAATTTCATCTCATTTGGCAGAACTTGTCTCAGCAACTCCAAGGAAAACTTAGTGCCAGATCTTTGTATTCTTTGGCATGTGCTGAAAAATATAATTTGATTGACGTTTGTGAATCAGAACGTGTTGATTTGAATGAAGTAGAAGAAATTTCGGATGAAACGCAGAAATCCGAAATATTGAATAATAGGGAATTAAAAGAAAATATCCAAAAATTCGACATATATGTCTCAAAAGAGGAATTCTTCGAATTGGTGGATATTAAAAAAGTTCGGAGAGCCGACAGACCCGGGAAAACAAATGTCTAAGGGATTGTTACCGTTTGAGGAAAGGTGTATGGCAAGCTTGGCTCACACACGAACTTTGGAAATCAATTAAGCTGCAATGTGAATTCAGATTCAAATATCAATACTTGAATTCAGATTTTATCAGTCTAAGCATTGTAAACTTTTCATTGATAAAACAACTGGCAAGATATTCCTCCTTTCAATTAGAAATCTAAACTAAATAAAATTAATAAATATGTCATGCTGAATTGCATAAAGGTGTGTTCGGCTTCAACGTCTGGGAAAGACGGGGAATCACTGCAGCATAATACGCTGTTGCCGGTGCAGCGCCAGCGTGGCCATCTTTTCATACTGATCAATAAAATTTTGATACATATCAGGATAAATATCGTCACAAAAATAATAAATATTCATCAAGATGTATATCCGGATATTTATCACTGATACCAATATATCCTGCTTACCTTGGTTTCTCCATCTAAATACTCTATGAGAGTAAAAAGACGTTCTTAAACAAAATATTCATTCTTAGAGCAAATCTGCAGTCATTTGCAAGAAAAAAGTTTTTTCAAATGGTTACCATAGTCGAAAAATCTATGAATATTTTCAACATTAAATGCATTGAAATCCCAATATTCCTCAGAAAGATCACTTTTATTGAAGGATTATCCCGAGAAAGTATAGGGTATACCTACTCATTTCTTTAAAA